AACTTTGACTCCAGTAGATTTCTCGATTGCTAGACACGCAAGGATAGTGTTGTTGGAATGATAACATCCAGCGTTATCTTGATGAAAGAAGCACTTTGCAATTTCTGGATGCTCGTTTTTGAGAGTTTGGATGACATGTTGAAGGAGAAGAACTACTGCAGAGCTTCCCTGTGTACAGGTTTGGATCACATGGATAAACGCTTGGGACTGTAAAACTCCCTTTCACCGCCTATATACAACAGAGATGTGCCATGAAATACCCCTCTTCCCGAACCAGTCAGTCTGTGATTCACGGTAATATTGAGGGAGAAATTTCATGGCCCAGTCATTGATGACTAAGATGGTATCGTCATCCAGTTGGTCTATTGTATCTAACCGTGCCTTATCTTGTCTCACGGACCTCACCAAATGACATTTCCAAGCGACTATATTTTGCTTTCCCTTCTGGCAAAGGTATACTGCTTCATCGTGGTCATCATCATTGGCAAAGGTTACAGTAGTCAAGAGCCTTTCTATTTCCAGCAAGGTAGAATCTAATGCTTCGCAGTTAGGACATCTTTCGTCATGTACGTGATCGCAAGTTTGCCTGTAATCTTTTTCGTTAGAGTCGCTCAGGGCATGTACATTGCAATGGCTGGGTACTCTGCAGCTCTGACTTATATGAACCTAGAAAGCGAAGTTAAACATGCAGTGAAGAGTATACATTGACAATACATTACAATATTGACCAGTTGAGAAGATCGTCTGATCAACGGTGCATTTTTTAAAGCATTTTACGATGGCAACCCACCTCCTTCATAGGGTTGAAAAACATAAAAATAACATAGAATAGATAATAGAAGAAATCAAACTGAATGGGACTCATTCTTAAGAAAAATAACTAAAGCACTTCGAGATTCGCCATTGGTTAACATAAGCCGGAGTAAGCCGATAAAATGCTCCGATATATGTTTTTTATATATTTGTATTTATGATTCATCCATTGATGGATATCGTCCATTGATATGTGAGCGCGATTGCTTATGGCATGTGTTGATATTCCTGAAAATAGTGATAGATGATATCTTAATTATATGCTTTCTGAAACACATGACATTCTTGTGTCTGCTTTTTCAATCAAAAAGAAATAAAAAATCGTCAGTCGTTCATGCACTCAGTACTTGTAACGGTAATACATTAACACTGGTGTAGCGTCTTTTTTTAATGTAATCAAATAATTGTCCACATGACACAGCACTTTGAATTGAGAATAAGCGCACGCTAAAGATTGAAACATAGAGTGTATAAGTCATATACACTCGGTTCAGTACAGCTTGCATCTTTTATTTGATTAGCGGTAAAAAATGTATTGTTGCCACGCCCAATTTTGTAAGGGACTCGGCTATAGTAATGATTAGTTTCCCATTAGAATTAAATTAGGTTTAACGATCAAATTATTTTAATATAGTGTATACATTTTTTTAGATTTTAGCCTGCTCATCAGGCTCAGTCCAAACCCCTTCGAGAGCCTGATACTCAGGATATTTAGATGTAGACATTATAACATACAATATATATTATTACCTCATTTGTAAGTCGCATTTGATCAGTTGYATGGAAAATTTGCAGAAGCCGAAATCAATAAATTATTATTTATATTTATTATAATTATATATTTAACAAATAGATCTCATTTTTCCGTGCGTGTGTACTCTAATAGATACACAGATGACGTTAAAATGTAGTGAGAACAAAAAAGTACGCACGAGACGCAGTCGAGTGCGTGACTGTTGTTCTCACTACATTTTGACGTCATCTGTGTATCTATTAGAGTACACACGCACGGAAAAATGAGATCTATCTGTTTTATACAACAAACAATTAGTTTTGACGTAATCCGTGTATCTATACTTTGATAACACACGAAAGCCAACCAATCAAAACGTCTGATTTTACTGAAAAGTTGTATAAAGCTATATATTGAATATTGTCGCTTGATTTGGCATCACATCAGTGGCATGTATTACTCATTTGTCAGTCAGGCKCTTGACGTTATAGCAGGTCTGCGTCAAAGTATGCGATAGTGCGACATTTTTACAATTTAGCACAGCAATATGATCCTTTTTTTATGAATGAGAAAAACAAGCTGTACTAGTAATATATTGTGTCATTTTAGTTACGGTAGTTTTGCTCACGTATAAATCTTTCACAGCAGGATACAGAATGTCTGAAGCAACAACAGGCTGCAGCGAAGACTATTGATGCATTTACTGGGCTGGATTATACACATGAAGTCTGAGTTACAACTGTTGTCGGAGAAAAAGTTATAACAATAGATTTGATTACTCGTTTACCTTCTGCACTGCTCCACCGCTATGAAGATATTCCTCTGTCACTTGAGCTGAAATGTCGATCTCATCCTCATTAGTGGGCAAAACAATTTCTGGTAGCCTTTCATTTTCAAGTAATTGCTTAATTTTGGTCTTGCAGCGTCTACAGATAACTAAATGAAAAAGAAAAAACCGTCAGCAACTGGTATAATTCATTATATTTTAACAGACAATTAGTAGTCGCCAGTAGTAGGCACTTACGTGTTCCGAATGGAATTAGTATTTTGGATCTATTGAATACAAATTTCGATTCTTTGCTGTTAATGCCTCGGTCTCCTTTTGCACTGGCAAACTTATGCCCTGCCATGTCATCAGGAATAGGGCAGTTTCGTCTTCCACATCGCCATCCGACTCCACTATTATTGCGGTGTGACGGGCAAATGGTCAGATTGTCATGACCCTCGATCTCCTCCTTTTTGAAAACTCCTTTAATGGATAATAAAGCAAACAAAACGCTGAAATATTGAACTTTGAAAATCGAAAATAGATTCAGCACATACCAGCTCGACAAAGCAATAACTTTAGTTCGTTGTCCACATCAGAATCAAACGTATTACAAAAGCGCAAATGAGATGTAACGTCTTTCTTGCAGTCAGCCAGAGTAACACACTCTGCATCATTTGGCCTTTTCCAGTGAGGCCCGCACGGGGTATTTAAGTATACTCAAGCCATACTACACCGAGACAGTGCCTGTGTTTGTTTATAGACAACACCGAGATCACGTAATGTGATATCCAGTAAAACATTAACTTAGTGGGTGGTATGGTACAAAAAAGAAATGCAACAAAATGCTGCATTCAAAGTAAAAAATCAACAACAGCTCTCACTTCATTGCACGGAAAACTAATAGTCGTAGGTATTTTATTTCCTAATCGTATCTAAGAAACTAATAGGACGTAAACACCGAACGTACATGCGATTCTCGTAACCAGCAGTGCGTAACCGCTAAAGTGATATTGCGTTACACTTATTATCTAAACTACCTTTGTATGTGCTTTTTGACCTTTGACAGTCAAATATACTTCGAATTATACTTATTTTACTCAGAAATATTTCTTCTTAAAGTAAAAAGAGGATAATTCTACATTCTTTGGTAAATAAATAACACATATTCTACAGACAGTCACGCTCGGTTAATTTATGCATAATGTCATGAATGCTAAAACTACACTTGGCGTTTTTTGCTTTGGAAGCTAAAATATTTACGGGCCAAGAATGATACTTGGCAGAATCAAAGACCTATAATATGACTTTCGAAATATATCAAAATATTTGTTCAAAATAATATACTCTCTTCAGGAGAGCTTGCCAAACTTACTTCGTTTTTGGGCTGGTCGCTCGCCGTGCTATAGAGGTCTTAGTTGAGGGCCGAGATCTCAGCTTATACCCAACCGATATCAATAATTTTTACTTTGCTGGAAAGTGCAAATGATGGACAGTAGACCCACAAAATATCTATACAAAATAAATTTTCACTAGTGAGCAAAGTCACCCTGAACTGCCCTAATTTGATAGCAATATGAGTCGCCCGAAAAGTRCCGTCGGAGGCTGTTTTCAACTTTTCTAAATTAGAAAATAAATGGAAATCGTTAGACTTTTTAGACATGCATTTTGAAGACTAGCCACCCAAAGGTTTATTTTGGTGCAATAAAATAGAATTTAATTTTTGGGTTCTGTCTGTCGATTCTCGACCCYTACGGACATTTGCTCTTAATAGGGCGCAGTCGTGTGTCTCTTTCTCTTGTAGCGTTTATATAGCGCTCTTCTCGATAGACCTTTAAGGTATTGTTCGTCGAGCTCTCTCTTGGCCTCTCGAAGCTCWCTTCTCTCCCATGGAAGCATTTTCACCATAAATGTAGCACGAACTGTGCCTCCTTCTTCGACTTCTTCCTCGCTCTCTTCCGATGACATATAATCGCAGGACATCACTGCTTCAACTTTTTCCTTCTTGTTTTGGCTCCAGTTAATGGAGTCAAGAGCTTCGCGTCTGCTTTCGAGTTTCTGTGAGGAAAAATATGAGTTCTCACATTAGATAATGTTTCGAAAAAGTAAAGCCATCAAAAGATTTTCTGATGTTAGAAAATGACTTACGTTGTGGAGTCTCTGCTGTTTTCGGCATGTCTTTCTGTGCCCGTTGAGTTGACCTCGCGATGATCTTGTGGCATCATCTTTCTTRCTGTTGAAATATCTTTTGATTGCACCTACGCGATGAGAAGGCATGTTTTTTAAATTATTTAAAAAACAATTGAAGAACAATSTGCCGACGTCCAAGCGCCAACAAATAAGTATAAGTATTCAAGTTAAATACTTACATTTTATTTCTGAGACAGTAAACTCGCAATTATCTCCTCCATTGTCGCTAATGGTTTCATCAATCAGTTGTCTTATAACCGCACGGTTTTCAGGTGAATCAAACCTAGTAAAAAAAAGTTTYAACTTTAAAATAAAGAGCAACCTCTAGCAAAGCTAAAACGCTTTCACCGGCGAGAATGCTTTGTCAACGTGCGGCCAAATTTAACTTTTTTCAAAAGATTTTTTATGAAATAACAATTGCTTATGAAGAACGGTCCGTAAGGGTAAAAAAAATATTCTGTTTTAAAACCTAAAAGACTTGTGAAAATTTTCTCGTAAACTGTAGCTTAATACCCCTTGTTGTTCGACATTTGAATAGGTTTACTGAGTCATCAGAAAGGCCGGTATAACTAAAATCTGCCTACTAAACAAATCCAGTTTATTAATTACCTTTATAATAAATGCCCGACATCCAAAGTGTGACCTTTGATTGACATTCAATCGAGATGAAATGCATACCTCTTGTTAGTGACAAATCCTTTAAATTGCTCTTCTTCGTCGACGTCTTTGAGTTGTAATAATGTCTTATAGACATCTCGAACAGCAGACTATGAGTGATAAATATAGAGAAATCGTGAAAAAGACTTATCTAAAATATGGTTATAAAGCAAAATACTACACTATTTCCGGATAACCATTGTAAGCTTACTTAAAATGTAGAACTCAAAAGGATGATATCTTATTTTATCCCTGTGTTAAATTAGATCCGCATCCGTTTGTTAAACTGAGGAACGAGATCAATCGCGTAAATTAGCGGTCCGTGTCAGTTTCTTTTTGTCCTCAGTAAATGATAGCTGGCTGATGCGATGTGATAAGATCAAAGATATCTGACATAAGCAATTCTCTACTAGATAAGGATACAGAGTATATAACTCCAAAACTTAAGTAGTCATTTTATGTATCAAACCCACGATTAGTATTCAAATATGTTACTTATAAAAGGCGCTCAACCCTCCCTTTGGCTTTAACGCGCGCGCAAGAACTCAGTATAGTTGCTATTTTCAGCGTGACAAAACCGAGATCGATCAACTCTTGATTACTAGTCTATTCATAAAATGTATTACCTGGCACTCCTTTGAAGCTCCTTTACGSTTCCTCCTTCTTCTCTGASCGACTGTGGGCTCGTTCTCTCTATCTTGTGCTTGTCGACTTGATAACTTCTGTAACTCTTCGCGAAGACATTTGTTYTCGTTTTTCAACTCTCGTGTTTCCTTCAGCACGTCTTGCATGATCTTTGCTAAGTTTTYATWGTCGGTGTTTTGCAGAGGAWTAGACATGACTCAAGATACAGTTAAATATAAATGGATAAAAAGGCACAAGGATAGATCTTCACGTTGACACGCTAGCTCGAGTGACGCGGAGAACTGAATTTCCCGCAACTAACCTCGTGTTTCATCCACGTGACTCGGCTCGTCTTGATATATTCGGCCAGCGGTTTTTCTCCCATTATACCCAAAGAGTTGCCGTAAACATAAAATCAAATCGAAATCAAACATAAATAACATGAAGCCAAAGGCAAAATCCGGTTCGAAAAATCAGAAACGGCGTTCTCCATGTCCTTATTGTGGACAAAAACTATCTTCAAGAGCTCTTTATAACCATAAACGTTACAGATGTTGTCAACGAAAGCTAAAGGTATGCAGTCGACTTGGACCTCAATCGTCATACTTAGGGCCATTCCATTTTATATCCACACCCCCCCTATATATGTTTTTTTTCTGAAGGGTTACTCAGGATAGGCGTTTTCTTAGGGGTACATTGGAAAAGTACCATTTTCTGAAGGGTAGTTTAAAAAAAGGCAATTTTTCTTAGGGGTACCAATTGAAACCACCATTTTCCGAAGACTTTTTAGTAAAAGGTCATTTTTCTTAGGGGTACATTGGAAAAGTACCATTTTCTGAAGGGTATTTTAATAAAAAGTCAATTTTTCTAAGCAGTACCAATTGAAACCACCATTTTCCGAAGGCTTTTTAATAAAAGGTCATTTTTCTTCGGGGCACAACAAATTAAGACAACTATTTTCTGAAGGCTTTTCAGTAAAAGTAGGGTGGTGGTGGGCGTGGAGGGGGTGAGAATCCAGAGGGGCGGCAACATCGAATTTTATGTGCTAAAGAGGGGATTGCAACGTCTAGCTAAGGTTTTTGTTCTGACTGATTCCACCAGTCTGTTGGTCGCTCTACTAGTTGAAGTGAGAACTCAAAGTGACGAATGGAAACTACAACTTATGGAATCAGTCCTTGTTTTTTCTTACAACAGGTTTTTCCATATCATCAAAGTTTTTAGTGAATATAGTTGTTAGTTAGGCACTATTAGTCACTATCACCCAACCAGAACAAATGAATGAACAAATAAACTAATTAAAGCTTTTGTTCACGTTGTCTCTTGTGTTTGTGGCGTCTCTAAATTCATTTGTTCTGGTTGGTGATAGTGACTAATAGTGACTTACTAATGACTATTTAGCCACTGAAAA